TCAGGCGCAAGTGTGTGAATGGCCCGGCCTCTCCCAGGAGCAGGCAGGAGTGCTCTCAAGAGCTCGCTCCTCACCTGGTTCCTTTGGCGTCTCACCCTTTTGGTTCTTCTCTTTCAGTAGGGGCCTACTTAGGGACAGACTCCCAGGGCACAGAGAAATGGGGATGGAGGGGGCGAGGGCAGGAATCAAGGCTGAGCCCAGGGCTGGTGCCTCGTGTTCATCAGGCCTGCAGGGGAAGGATGGGCCACAGGTGCAGCGACCCGGACTGAGCGGAACATAGAGCAACAAGGGTGGGTGGGTGCTCTCAGAAGCTGCTTGTCCTGAAAAATCCACCCTCATCCCGCCCCTATCCCCCAGGGCCCATTGCTCTGTCCTGCTTCCTCCCTCCTCCCTAGAAGTAAGAACTCAGATGTGGCTGGTCCGAAGGTAGTGAGTTATTTCATTTGATTGTTCACAGTCAGTTACAGATTGAACTCCTTGTTCTGCTACTTCCCCCCTCCTCACTACTGCACTTGAGTAATCAAAAAAAAAAAAAACAAAAAAACCCAACCCAAACCCAGGCTATGTAGCTTGTTTATATATATATATATGTATATAGTTTATTCATTAAGTAATATGGACAATTTATAGAAAATTCAAAAACTACAGAAAGATGAAGGGAAGAGAAAGAAATCATCTCTAGTACCATCATTTGGAGACGGGGGCAGAGGCACTGGGAGGCCACTTCTGTGAATGTCACTTTTTCTTTTTCAAGGAAGTGCTCTGAGGTTCCCCCACTGCCAGCTGGTGTCCTGGGTGCTGACTCAGAGATTTGGGTCGGAAGGCAGAGGGCCGAGTGTGGGTGGGGAGAGGCAGTGCTGCCCATTCTGACTTTATAGCAAGTATATTTTCTTATGGTCTTTCTTCTATGAGCATTTGTTGTGATCATTCTGCATATAGTGCTTTTATTTATTTTTTAATTTATTTTTGAGATGGGGCCTCGCTCTGTTGCCCAGGCTAGAGTGCAGCGGCATCATCATAGCTCACTGCAACCTCAAACTCCTGGGCTCAAGCAATCCTCCTGCCTCAGTCTCCTGAGTAGCTGGGACTACAGGTATGCACCACCATGCCTGGCTAATTTCTTTTTTATTTCTTTGTAGAGATGGAATCTAGCTATGTTGTCCAGACTGATCTTGAACTCCTGGGCTCAAGCAATCCTCTCACCTTAGCCTCCCCCAAAGTGCTGGGATTACAGGCGTGAGCCACTGTGCCCAGCCCATACAGTGTTTTTAAAAGCATAATTTACACAGTGTTGTTTACAGGTTCTAGAAGAAATATATTTTGAAGCAGAGCTGTGACAGGCAATACTTGCCAATGGGTGGTTTATAATTAATCATTCCCTATTAAAAAATAGTGACTCAGTTTTAAAGATTCAGAAAACCATTACTCAAGTTCCTTGGCAGAGGAAGTGGCCATTATGTTGCTCTCTGCAGCTCTGCTTTTGTGGAAGAGAAAAAAAAAAGTCTTTTTATTTGGTGTTTCTCTGAGCTGCCCAAGTACTTCGGCCATTGTTAGTGCGTGCTGGAGCAGAACGGCCCCTGCTATTGTTCGGGCTGGCCACTAAACATGGCAAGAGCTTCCATCTGAACGGGGCTAAGGGAAATGACCAGAGAGACATATTTTCTGGAACTCGCAAAGGCAGAAGCAGAAGAGAGAGCTCCCTCTGGTTCCAGACTCCGAGTTTCCTTCCTTGGCATCTCCTGGTTGTAAAAAGCTGGTTCCTCTGATCCTAGTGTGGGGTCTGCCCGTTGCACAACATGAGGGGGCACTACCTAGACCCTTGTGTCACCTGTGAATGGTACTCCTGGGAGTTTTCAGTGTGGAGACCTTGTCCTTGTCCTTGACCTCTTAGGTGCCCTACATTAAACAAACATGTATTAAGCACCTGCTGAGTTCTCTGATGAGTGGATGGCAGGAACTTACATTTTTGTCATGGTCGGGACCTGTACGTAGGTGAGGACTGTGCTCTGTGAGAATGCCGGTGAGCAGATGAGCCGTCCGTGGTCCTTAACCCTTACACCGGACTTTCGTGCAAGCCGCACTTGTGTGCATTGTGAACTGATGCTCCTAAACTGCCTTGTGAGTACTGATTTCTGCTTGTCAGATGGTGGAGGGATGTTGCAAGCATTGTACTGGCAGACAATTCTCTTTTGGGAGTGTCTCCATCTTTGTTCCTACAAGTTTGTAATTTGTGCATGAACTCGACGTCCACGTTAGGTTTTATTTTTATGGCTGCTTTATCAAGTGCAAAATGGAAAAGTGAAAATATTGATATACAGTGATTAGAAGGTGCATCTTCTAAACAACCTCATTCAGGCACGGGTGGAAGTCAATACATGGACTGGATATGGCAAGCTGCTGCCTCCAGCAGGTGCTCATTGGACTTACACACGTTGGACTGTGTGTTCAGTCATGAAGGAAAGGGACACATGTCACATACATGCCAGGACCGGCAGTTTCATTCTTAGGAAAGTTCTTGGCAAGTGCACCAAGAGTCATGAACAGGAAAGTTGAAGCAGGGTGTATGTAATCTCAGCTATTTAGGAGCTGAGGCGGGAGGATCCCTTGAGCCCAGGAGTTTGAGACCGGCCAGGGCAACATAGCAAGACCCTGTCTCCAAAAAAAAAAAACAACAGTTGATAGCCACACTCTTTGATACAGCAAACCACTGGAAATGACCCCAAACCTCCTTCAATGGGAGAATGAGAGGGCTGAACAATGGAATATTGCATAGCAGTGAAAAAGAATGAACTGTGTAACTACATGTAAATAAATCATAGAGACGTATGAATGAAAAAAGCACATTACAGGAGACTATATACAAACCATATATATAACACTCAAAAATCAAGAAAAGTTAAGAAAAACTTATGGATCTGTGGGTAGTGAACCTATTTTTTAAAAGTAAGGGAGTGATAAACCCAAAATGTAACACTGTATAGGTGGGGAAGCTGGAAGATGGGGAAGCCCAGAGTGAGCTTCAGAGACAATGATCGTGCTATTTTTTTGGGTTGGTGGGGGCCCCTGGGTATTTTATGCTTCATAGCTTTTATGTACATTACATATATTAATTTGCATGTGTTCAGTATTATGTAATTGAAAAACAATGTTTGAAATGTTAGAAATACGTTGTCAAAGGTTATTTGTGGGAGCTGTGCTGTAGTTAGGGCTTTTTATAAGGCTTTTAAGCCCTCTGGGCAATCCCTTATTGCCCTCAGTGGATTTCAACTTCTAGGGACTTGGATTTCGCTGATGTTCAGGGGCGAACTGTGTGGTCTCTCCTAGCCCTGCAGCAGCGAATACAACCCCATCCTCAAGGGCAGGGTCTCTCTGATGCCTGACTGTGGCTTCCTCACTGGTGCCTGGCCGCTGAGGCTTCCTCCAGTGTTTGTCCAATGCAGGACAGAGGGAGGGCCTTCCTTGCCCACCATGGAGGAAGTGAGGCCACCAGGGGGTCTAAGGAACCTGCCCAAACTCGCCTGGCTGCACGGTGACAGTTCAACCAACTTTCTCACCCAAAGTCCAGGGCTGGTGAAGAGAGAAAGCCTTAGACAACTGACTGCATCCTGGCCTTGCATCTGTCGCTTTTCTGCCAGCCTTGGGGTAGAAGGTCCCAGAGTGGAGAGCTCTGGCTCCAGGTGGTAGAGTGAGAAGGAAGAATGAAGGGCGTCTGTACAGGCAGGCAGGGCCCAGTGACAGGCAGAAACTGTTTCTGCCCCTTTGATACCTATGTCCCTGGTCTCTGGACTGTGACCAGTAGCCAGTCTGGACTGCCAGCCTCCTCTGGCTTTGGGACTGTTATCTGCCTCAGAATTACTGATCCTTACTCCCTCCTCTCTGACAGCCACCTTGGATGTGGTGGGAGGAAGGACAGTCCAACAAGCATGAGATAAAAACACCTCCTCCCAAACAAGAAGACTTTGCAGGCCATGGAGAGACATTTGTGCTAGTCCTCAGTCCCAGGAGCATGGGCGGGGAGGTGAGGTCAGACACTCAGGCAGCTGCTGGGCCTTTCCCGTATCTTTGGCCAGACTGATCGCTGCTGCTTGCTAATAAATGGTTGTGCATCTGGTTTGAAGGCTTAACAAGAAAACATGGTTGTGTTCCCTGGCCTCTGTTCCCTCCGCTGGTTGGACTAATTTAATAGATTGGTTAATAAATGAGTTCAAGGTGGTTGGGCTAATTTTTATCTTACATTTTATAAATGTATAACCTGTACTCAAAAAAAATTTTTCTGCTTGTTTCTTTAATCTTCAATCTCCTTTTCCTTGAACAGTAGAATAGCACACAATTTTTTTCGATGAGCAGAGAATGCATTTGTTTTTCTTCTTTACCTTCCAGTTTGGTCCCTAGAATAAAAACAGCATTGCCCTAAGCGGTGTAATAGGTGGGTGTAGGGTGCTGGAGGGAGTGTGGAACAGAGAATCAGAAGACCTGGTTCACGTCCCAGCTGTGCAGCTGACATGTTGGTGCTCTTGGGCAAGTCTCCTGATTGTTCTGTGCCTCAGTTACCATCTGTGAAACAGGGAAGACCCTGTGAGTCTGAGATACCCTAGGTACTTGTGCACCCTGGGGGTCCCACTTGGGTGCCTGGCATTCATTCCCACGTTCATTCATTCATTCACACATCCATGGAGTGCTCAGTGGGCCCCTGCCATGTGCCAGGCAACGTTCCGGGCCCCGGATTGTAGCAGACAACAAGACAGGGTGCCTGTGCTTGTGGTGCTTGGAGTCTTAAGGGGAAGACAGACATGCAATTGGTAATTACACTCCACGCAGACAGCTGGGTGGCGAGGGCCAGGCTGCTGAGGCCACCGGGAAGCTGCTGCCTGAGTCAAGGCAGCGGGGACGGTGGCCTGAGCCGATTCCTGCTTAGTACCGAGGCTTGTGGCTTCCCCAGCTCAGAACGAAGCCCCTCTTCGGATTGCTGTGGGTTTACTGAGTGTTTTCTCCCTCTCCAGAGGTGGCAAGTGATGTGCTGACCAGCCTGCCGGGGGACAGCGTTACCCTGACCTGCCCAGGGGCAGAACCGGAAGACAATGCCACCGTTCACTGGATGCTCAGAAATCCCGTCGTGGGCTCTCACCATAGCATACAGGCCGGCGTGGGAAGGAGGCTGCTTCTGAGGTCGGTGCAGCTCAGTGACTCTGGAAACTACACGTGCTACCGGGCTGGCCACCCCGCGGGATCTGTGCGCTTGCTGGTGGATGGTGAGTTGTGCCTCAGAGCTCTGGGAGACGCTCCCAGGGCAGCTCCAGCACGAGGCTCTGTGCATTCCAGAGAGAGTCCCTGCCTGACCCTTTAAACGCCTGGTATTTCCTTGGCCCAAGAATTTCGGGAAAAGGCCGGCAGATGTCTGCCGGGGAGAGCTGGCGGAGATTCCTGCTGGGTGGGGCATCTGGCAGAGGCAGAGTGCTGTCTGGCAGGCCTTGTGAGCGAGGACTGGTTAACAGCCTGGGGCCCGGGCCAGGCAGCCCGGGCTGGAATCCTGCTCCTTCACATATAGCTTAACTTCTCTGCCCCTCGGTTTCCTCTTTGACAAAGTACGGCTAATTTTATTACCTTATCTTAGAGTTGTTGCAAAGAATAAATATGTATGAATGTATATGTGTGTATCTCACACACACACGGGGCTGAAAACTCTGCATAGCACATACTGTGCTCTCAAATTAGCTCTTCTTATTTTTAGAATTAGCAGGTTCTTGGCTCCCTCACATCTAGATAAAAAATGTCATAGAGCCGAGGCCTTGTGTGCCAAGCCCTGTGTTAAGGCACGTCCTTGTATCTCCTGGAGTCAGTCCTCCCATCCCTGTGCCGGAAAGCAGTGTTATTATTATTATTATTATTTATTATTTTTTTTTTGAGACAGAATCTCACTCTGTTGCCCTGGCTAGAGTGAGTGCCGTGGCGTCAGCCTAGCTCACAGCAACCTTGAACTCCTGGGTTCAAGCGATCCTTCTGCCTCAGCCTCCTGAGTAACTGGGACTACAGACATGTGCCACCATGCCCAGCTAATTTTATATATTTATTTTTAGTTGTCCAGCTAATTTCTTTCTATTTTTTTTTAGTAGAGATGGGGTCTTGCTCTTGCTCAGGCGGGTCTTAAACTCCTGAGCTCAAACGATCCTCCCGCCTTGGCCTCCTAGAGTGGTAGGATTCCAGGCATGAGCCACCACGCCTGGCCCTGATAGGGCTTATGTACAACTGGGGGACGAGCTGGGGCAGGAGAGCCAGACATCCAGGTTTCACTGAGTGGAGATGTGCCTATTACACTTCCTTTCGCAACTGTTAACAGTGTGGCGCATGTGTTTGCATGCGCGTGTGGGTGTTTGTGTGTGTGCACACAAGCTCTGGGAACATGGGGGTGGGGAGGGGGATGGGCTTGAGTTTGGCAGTGGCAGGGGTGGCGGAGTGGGGACTGTGGGCCCGTATGAAAAGTGCCCTGGCAGCATCCCGTACCTACACAACAGTGGGGTCAGCACGAACCTGACGTTGGATGAGTTTCGCAAACTGAACACACACCGAACCGCCGCTCAGAGTGAGAACTGAATGGCACCACCCCTGCGCTTCTTAGTCGCTCCCTGCTGCCTCTACCAGGATTTTTTAAATCTTGAGCTTTGCTTCCTCTTGTCTAAAGGGTGGAGGAGGGGAGCTGAGGGCAGGGTGGTGGCATGGTGGGGCATGCATCAGGCCCCTTCCTGTGGCCGCCCTTCCCCACCTTCCAGAAGCACCTAAGAAACCCTGACTGTGGGCCGGGCTCCTGGTTCGATTCCTGGGCCACCTTCAGATAGGGGAGACAGGCAGAGGGCCACACGGCGAACGTGGACGGAGGTTCCCAGAGCCCCTGCTCCAGTCCTGGCCGCGCTACCCGCTGCCTGCCTGGCTCCTGGGCCTCAGCAGTTCCCTGGCCTACAAGAAGGAGCGGGTTGGTCTGAATTGCCCTTACGGGCCCCACAGCCTTAACTCAGTGATCCTATCTCCTTATCTCAGCGCCTCCCTGGCTGGAGCTCCTCCTCATGCCCCTGTCTGGACCAAAGTCCCGTGTGTGTCCTGTCTGGGTGTCAGTGCCTTTCTCCTCAGTCTGGCCTTTAATCTCTTATTTCTGGGTTTGCTGCTGGGGTTAGGTGGGGTTGGGGGAGTTGGATTATTGGCCCTCCTTAGTTATCTTTTCCTCGAATTAGTTTATGATCTCTAACCCAGGCTACACCTTCTTGGACGGGGCCAGGTGATTATCTCTGACGCTTCCGGGGGAGGATGAAATGTTTTCTTCCCCAGGAGTGGGTCACACGCGCACACGGATCTCTGAGTCAGCATCCAACGTTACCTTTTTATGGGGCCAAAGGAGCCTCCCTCCCAAGCAGTACGCGGTCCGCTGTGTGGATCAGGAGGACGGCTGAGCCAAGGTAAATACCGACTCTGCCAAATACAAGACAAATACAAGCAGGTACAAGGAGTACAAATACATTAGTGGGAGAGGAGGGGGCACGGGCTGCCCAGCCAGAGCCAGTAACCTGAGAAGGGGGGCCTGGGAGCTGAGTCTGCCAGCCTGGGAGTCTTGGCTTGCTAATTGCTTGTGGCCTGAATGGCAGCCCAGGGCACCCTCTGGGACATTAGTGAGAAGTGAGTGGGCTCGTGCAGTGGGGTGAGCTGGGGAGAACGTGGGATTCGAGGTCAGAGAGGGAGGCACTGTTAAGCTATAACTCACACAAATGCTGCTGCTATAGGGGAGAGGGAGAAAGGTCACCGGCATGACTCCTGACTCCCGAGATGCCCCCAGGTCCTGCTAGGTTCTGCAGGCTGGGAGG